TAGGGGATGGTTGGAAGAAAGTTAGGGGCGGCCAAACCAAAACGTGGCATCAGTGCTTGAAGTCACTAACTTCTAGTCTTAGCCATGTTGGTAGATGCAGACTACTTGGTTGGGGTCCGCGTGACTATCGTAACCAATGGTTGGAGACTCTTGGTGACATGGCTCAGAATCGATCACAATGGCGTCGGTGTATACACTCTTTGTCTTCCCTTAAACTAAGAGATTAAAATCACTTCATACGAACTAATTCTTCCTTCCTATACTATATCCTTATTGCAACCTTTGACCTAACCACTCCTATGAATCCGGTGTTCATCTTGTTGTGCTAATGAGGTATGGCAACCTGGACCGATGCACATATGTGCCTGGTCCTACGTTGTAGCTGACTGACTGACTGACTGTATTATGAGCCTGTTCACTCTAGGTTTCAAGTCCCGTTTTGTAGATACACTAATTGTGGAAAATGTAACTGGTATGCAAGTCACATTCGTAGCCCTTCATATCTACAGTCAGAAATCTAAGTTGTAAAAAATTAGGAAAAACCCAATCCCAACTGGAGGGTAGAGAAAGAAGATAATAGAACATCATTAACTTAATTTACTAAAGTGAAGTGTGTTTGAGGTTAATTACGGACTTCCGGATATTTTATTAATTCTTAGTAATCCGGTGGAGTAATATTTTGTACACAAGATAACTAACAAGGACGGAAATCAGTATCCTGTGGTAGCTAACTACACTAAAAAGTTTGGTCTTACCGCAGTCCCGACTTACGATGTTTATCTTCCGTAGTAGTAGTAGCGGCCTTTGTATCTGATTAAAACACTAACTGAGCAACTAATCTTTATCTGCTTTCAGTTAATAAATTAGTATATCAGGCACGCAGTGGGACTGGGAAATGCGAGGAAGGTCGGCGTTCATGAAAAGTTTAATTGGCTAGTGCTAACCTGGTCCGTCTTTGTAATAATATGACTTTGAAAATCTGAATATATAGCTCATCTTCGGCAGCAGTTTCGTCACTTCCCTTATAAAATCTGGCCCGTTTGAGTTTATAATTTTGGGAGACTGGTCGTAGTTATCTCCGAACGATTACTTTCCCCGGGTAAGTGTAAGGAATATGAGGGTCGTCTATATGTGATTAACCGTAGTGATGGCGGTTTAAATCATGCCACCATTGTGAAGCACCAGATTCAGTGCCCTGAACCTGTTTTAGAAATGTCACAATGGCGTCCATTTTGCCTGTGATTTACCTGTGCTGGAACAAGAGGTTGTTTGCATGGCGTCAAAACATGACCGACATCAAGACCCGGCGTCTGATCACCTCTTCCAGGTTCGAGATGTATAAGTCGTGCAACTCAACAGCTTGAGGTACGCTCAGGCATGGTCCGTAGTGGAATTAAGCTGTCTACTGTAATTTCTCACTACATTGATAGAAATAAAATGAAGGCTAACCATAATGATCGTAATTCTGATCAGACCTTGATTAAATACTTTTTCGTGTATTTATTTTCATCTCAATCTCTCACTACATGTCACTTTGTGAGGCTCATTATTTTTATGCCTTGTACCATAATCCTTGTCATGAATAAATAATCAGAATTCTTATATTACTCGTCGAAGAGTAATGCCACTAGACCTTGTAACTATCAGTCGCTACCACATTTAATAAAAACGCACTTCATCTAAATAGTTAAATGTAATTGTAGTTCCAAGATGACTTCAATTTTCACTGAGTAGTGGAATAACGGTATATGTCTGAGCAGTTACAAAGAAATTAATTAGCCTTAATCTGTAACTGCGTGGTATTAAATAATGCCCTTCAGCTTAGTTAACTTTACGCATGCCCTACTACATTTCACTGATGTCAGTGGAGAATAACCGAGCTAGTATTTGTATTGTAGTGTTACGAAGGAGTTACCTTTTTCAAAAGTGCTACAATTTGAGTTAACAATGTAGGCCTAGCAAGATTATCGATGGAAATTTTATGGGATCATTTTGTTAGAAGTCAATAATATTCCCTCGGTTGAGCCGTAGATAATGGCTCTATTAGGACCTAGCTGCTGAGCGCTTTGTTAATTATCCTGACCTATAGCGTCTAATATTTAACAAATTTTGAACTAGATTCTTTAAATTTGGTTAGTATCCATAAATACAAAAATTCAGTAAACTTGGCAGTCAGTCAATCATAATCACCTTCAGCCTGGGTCGTCATAACAATCGTCTGGGATGGCATTAGCAGGACAAATATCAAGAGTAAGGTAATAGTAACACCATTAATTGTTAGAAACGTATACAGAGTACTGTTGGGAAAGAGTTGATTCGAGAAATAAAAATGCACGACGCAGTACATAAGCTGAATACTTGACAGAAATCAATACCTTGCACCTCTGATAGGTTCTTAGTTGTGTCGTGTAGCGTCTTAATCATGAACAAGGGTATTTTTATTGGTGTTAGAGGTCTGAGGGCAGCTGTCATTTCTTGAGGAAACTGAATTATTGTGGAGCGTACCGACCTGAGGGCATGATTGAAGAGCCAAAGAGACAACTGCTTAAAGCATTCGGCCTTTGTGGAAACTTTGTAATATGTTGGCCTCGTATCTCAGAATGGCTTACCGACGTAAACAATCTGTGGGATGAGGTGAAGTGTTACACCTTTAAGTCCAACCTCTAATCCCTTAGTTTGTGGGCGGACCTCACTGCAGATACCAGTTGTTTGAGGGGAACGCTCTATTGCTGTTAAACCTCACTATAATGAACAGTACGAGCTCGCTGTCGGACCATAAATTTTCTGCTTTAAGTCTTATCGTCCTCCAACAGACCTGCCTGGTATGGCAGAGTCTGAAGAAACAAGTATTTCAATCAGTATTGCTCGACTGGATCATCGCGAACGGTAAACTCGATCACCATAGCAAAGTAGCAGCTATGGTCGGGAGGAGTCTATTAAACTACAGTTCGCTCCGTTATACTGAGTAGTTGAAAACGTGAACTTTAAAAATAGGGAATGTTGTTAGTTTACTAGTATTCGATCATCGGTGTCTACAAAACATCATTCGTGTATTTTGAAACCTTCAAATTAGCAGTTCTGAGGTTAGATGTAGTGTACCAACCAAGTGTGACACTTGGGACGTAGTGAATCCTTATCGACTGCTATGGTTAGATGTATTCGTATGCTCATCCACTGATTACATTGAGGCTGCCGCTACCTTGACGTTATGGTCGGGCTTTTCTATCGTGATGAACCGATCGAGCTATACTGATTGGAACAATTGTTCCTCAAGGTCATACCATTCTAGGCACGTCGGTTAAAGAGCGGTAAGACTAAAGCCAACAAACCCTAGGTCCGAAAGTGAAGTCGCACTGCTGACTGTACAGAAATGTAACTGCAGTTAAGGGTTTCCCTCGGACAACCAACATGACGGCGATGAGCCTTCCCGCAAGAGAAGGGTGTGTTTGGAAAATGTCGACCCTGAAATTGCACACTTCGCCTCATCCCACGAATGTCCGTCTCTGGTATTAATATCTCAACAAATACAGTGCTAACACAAAAAGGTCATGTGTGATCGCCTTAAGCAGTTATCCCTTGGACACTCAGGTCACTAAGACCAACTCTAGACCAGTTTCTTTTTCAGGTACCTTTAGAGGGACCCTTCTACAATATGGGCAACTGGGGATTGCCAAGCACCCTCATACCTCTAACAGTATTAATGATTGATGATGGCTGGTTTAGGAGTAGACTGGAAATATTAGAATGATCAAACCAAATATGACATCAGTCCGTAAAGAAACTAACTTTTGGATTGAGACATATAAGAAGATAGTGGTGATTGTGTGGACCGCAACCATCTCGTCTGTATTTACCGACACGGTTCAGTCCAAGTTTTCTCCAAGCTTCCTACTCCTCACTCAACATAGCGTTTCAAGGTATGAGTTAGTTGCAGTACGTTATACACATTCCGGCCACATCCGTTTGTTGAAGGTTCACTATTTTTCAATAGTTTTGGGACATTTGACTTGTACCGCACGCCTGATTTCGGTCAGTACCGAGCTTCTAAGATAAGTTTTATGAGCAGAAACTAAGTGGATGTAAGTATATGGATTACAATTGTTAATAGTTCATTTTGTCGGTTTATTCCATTCTCATTACCCCATTTTCCCATGTTAAAGCAAGATGTATATTACAGTAATAGCATTCCTTGTTTGCATGTAGCGTATGCATATCAGTTTCCCAATTCCTTGTGGTCTTGACAAGACGAGCAAAATGAATATCCCGAAATCCAGATGTACTCAAGTCTTAAATATTGTCAAGTAAATAGATATTGTATATGATATGCCATCCAAAAAGTGCCTGAAGTAAATTCATAACATTCAGTCCGTATTCGGCTTTTCGTTGTTTCCGTTGCACAAACGAGGTTAATCTAGGTGTAATATGTGGAGTTAAGTGAGATTTATATTGATGGCACATTCATACATTCTTTCAGATCGGAGTCAGGTCAACGAGTAAAAAAACTGGGAAGGAGGTCTCTCCAGAAGTCAAATACGCGTTGAATTGTATGGGTTTGTTTCAGACATTCGTTTATTTAGACAAACATTATGAATGAGAAGCGGGTAAGTGAAGCGGGGTTGTCAAGTGTGTCAATTCAATTTGGCGAAGCGTGACTCAGTATTTATGGCCCGACATAAATAGTCTGAAGGCATGTGATGATTAGGAAAAGCGATACACATACTCTCATAAAAACAGTCAAGGTTAATACAGGAATAACTGACGAGATCAAAATGTGGCTCCAGAAGGATGAATAAGTTGGTCTGTCTGGAAGCTAGAATAACCCGTGTGTGCTTGGCATAGTACTAGACCTTATAATGTAAGTCGTTTGAACTGTGTGTGATCGTGGCCGGTGGGATCGTAGATGAGCTAAAAAATTAGCTTGTGTAGAAAAATTTGTTCTAATCCCTAGCTTAACAGTTTTTTCACATTTGTTGGATTTAATATTTCTTTTTGTTTTACAGCATACTGCCGCATCCGAAACATCACATGGTTCTAAAGTATGTTTCCATAATCATGCTTATCTTTTTAGCTTATCAATTTAGCGGATTCTGACCTTTCTGAAGAAGAGAAAATCAAACTAATGATGGAGAGATCCTCAGAGACTTACTCAGAGACCAAGTAATCAATTGTATTTTACTGAACCCTGCTTTAGTTTTGCTGTACGAGCCAAGCCATATGGGGTCCCTCCGGCTGCTTATGTTTGTCACAAATGTAATCAGCCAGGACATTGGATTCACAATTGTCCTGGGGTACGTGATAAGACCGGGAAAGTAATGGATGCCAAGTCAATCAAAAGGCCGACAGGTATTCCACAGGACTTTCTTCTGGAAGTTGCAGCTGGAACTCCAGGTGCATATTTAGGAAAATCCGGGAAGTACATGGTGCCTATTAAAGACGCGTAAATCAGTTGTTTTTGTAATGAAAATCTATTTTAGTGAGGCATATGCCCAGGGCAAAAAGGATAAAAGGCCGTTTTCTGTTGAAGAAAACCCTCCATACGTTCCTCAGGAAAGAAATCCTCCGAAGCAACTTGTGTGTCCGTTGTGTAATAAGCTATTCAGCGATGCAGTTTTAGTATCCTGTTGTGGAACAACCTATTGTAACGAGTGCATCATGGGTCATGTTTTTGATTCTCAAGTTCTGGGTTCGCATAAGTGTCCTAACTGTGATGCGGTGCTGACAGACCATGAGTCAAGTGTCTTTGAAAATGCTCTTGTGCGAAGTTTGATTCGTGACTGGCTTGCCGATGAATCTAAAATAGTGGATCCAGAAGTAGTTATCCCTGGAGATATATCAAAGTTCAATGAAAACGATACGGTAAGATATTTTAATTTTAACCTTTCCCTACTTTTAGACATTCGTTAACTGTCGCCGCGTTCTGAAACCAAAACAAGCAACGGCCAACATCCCTACACTCAAACTTGGAAGTACAACTGCAGTGGAATCAAATCAAGTTCAGAATTCACTGAAGATGCAACCAATTGTTTCAGAATCTAATTCTATTGTTAAAAATGAACATACTGATTTACTTTTGAACTTACCCTCTGAAACACCCCAGAGCACAAACTCTGTGACATTTTCTACTCTTTCATCTTTTGATTATGTTCGTGTTTCTGAAATGACTACTTCTGTTGTAACGAACAATACAAATGCTACTGTGGTCACAAGTTCTCCTTGTACCACTATGGTGGGAAATAACAGACAGAATCTGTTACCCACCACTTGTCTTTCAAACACACAAATTCCTTGTTTGAGTTATACTAGTTCTACTGCTGTAATGCCTACTTTACTCCCAGGTGTTAATGGTGGTGGTAATCCTCTTCTTAATGCGCTTTATAGTATACGGTTAGATGACTTACAGACTCCATTGGTTGCTCCCTCTACTATTTTGCCAGCCACTTACGGATCGCTTGTTGGCGATCCTGAGTGGACAGCTGAGACAGCTTTGGCTGCGTCAGCAGCTCAGAGTGCAGGTCTAGTTGATCCAGTAATACAAGTCAATAATAATCAGGTCGCCTTCGGGCTAGTCCCTGGGCAGTCTATCCCTGGCACGATGCACACAGCTTTATCCGCACCTGTTGAAACACTAAATGGACACAAAATGCTTTCAAAAGAAGAGTTCTATCGGTTGAAAATGGAAGTTCTCCATTCAGCTCGTAGAAGGTAAACCAATTTAAATCTACTCAAATGCGATCGTTTATTTATTTAGGTTGTCATGCCGTCCTCTTTCTTTAACAGTTGAATCTCTTGACTTAAGGAATCACCAGATCCGTTCATATCATGGGTTTTTGTAGCAAAGTATTCATTTTGTGGGTAATCGAAGTACCGATCTTCTGAAAGAATGTATAAATTAATTCATTATGTCTCAAATACCAAGTGTAGACGGAGGAGTTTCTGTCGTTTCTCGAACTTAACGTTAAGTAATTAATCTATTCGAAAGATTTATTTGCGTTTCAGTATGGAGGTAGTTTGTAATCATTCACAATTTAGGATAGTGTATATTCTGGGTAGAAATACTGCCCCATGAAAAGACAGCTACGTGGTTCAGCTGTCTTTTGTTTGTTTGACCTCAATTTACCTCCAAGTCTGCGCTAGGCTCAAAATAAGGTCTTTCACATCCGACGTAAATGCATGTATTAGCAGTTATATAAAAATGTAAAGGTCACACGTTCATGGTTGTGAATTTTCTTCAAATTGAAGTTTACTTTTTAGGGCTTAATTGAGGCTCCACCTTTTACGTTCAGCGTAGATAGTATTCAAGCTAAGTGTTTTGACTTTTTGAGGCTTCTATTGGTGTTTAATATATACTTTCATATTTCATTTGAATGTTGCTCAGTTTTATGTCTGTACGACCGTGTGTGTTGGCTGTTGTTCATTTGTTTGCCTTTGTTTCCATTTCTCCAGTAATATGTATATATGTAAATGCTGTTATCTTGCTTTATTATGGTGTGCATTCCACTACATTCAACGGGTCCACCTAACAGCATGGTTGCCTTTTCTCTGCGTTATTCAGTATCTTATTAAAAAATTTGATTTATAGGCATCGTCACCGCACCCATTCACGTAGTCCTGGTTATGTACATCGAGCCGAACGAATTTATGGAGATTCTTCGCACCATCGACGTGGTTATGATAGAGAAGAGCGAGAGAAACGACCTCGACACTATTCACCTGTTAATTACGAGAGTGAACGTAGTCGTTGCCGACACCGTTACGCTGATGAATATGAATCTCATCGTGACAGAAGTGGGACTCACCGTCATCACTACCGCCCTACTTTCTTTCAAGATCTTGACGACCGGAGACGTCATTATTCACGAGGCCATCCGCACAGTCCCGAACACCGGTCCAGGCGGTCACCAAGACAGTCACCATCAAGTAAAGATGATTGGTATGGGTACAAAGGTCGGGGATGTAGCCTTTCTCCCATCACACATGAACCCTCAGATCCACGCAGATGTCGGGAACCACATGTTGGTAGTGGACATTATGATGAATTTCTCGGTAGACGTAAAAGAAGGTAAGTCACGTTTTACGTTTTCCTAGATTAGTCATTCAGGGTCTCTAACCATCTGTTGCTATCATATCACGGTCCTAAACCAGGTAGTCTACACCTACCAACATGGCTCAGTTCACTTGTCAGTGACTTCATGGACTTGTGCCATGTTTTGGTCTGGCCGCCCCTAGCTTTCTTCCAATTTACTCTTATACCATTGAACATCGTCAGTTGAGGCAGTCGGAGAAATTTAAACCAAAACGTAACATCAGTTCATGGGACCATAGACTGCTGGACTGATTTATGCAGGTTGATGTACGTTACTTGATTGGGGTCCGCATGTCGTTAGGACCTTTTAGTGAAATGGCTCGAAATCGTTCACAATGATGCAGGTGCATCCACCCTTAATCTTCCTTTAGTCTCTGAGTCTCAAAATCTCGTCTTTCTCGTTTCTTTAGTTTTACACCTAATCTTTTCTACTACTGCCGATATTGTTTCTGCATCTACTACTATGAAAATTTGTCTTAATAATTTTATCGCTGTGATAATTTGATGTCGCAGCTTAAGCCAATTCTCATGTGTGAGTTTCTACGCTACTGGTGATCACTGCCGGGAAGTAAAAACTACGTTTGTACCTTTGACACCACCCGAGATCACCTTTTCCACTCCCGTAATTAACCCACAAGTATTTGCAGAGTAATGGTATAGCGTTTAAAGCGTCCGACTCTCCGCCGTCAAGTCTAAGATTCTATCCGGGCTCCAACTATTTCTTTTTGAACGACAGGATTATATCATTAACACTTACAATTTAAGCTCGACTCATACCTAAGAATCTAGTGAGCAAGCTAGCTTTTTTTATTTTATCGTCGGCCATCACCCTTGCTAATGATTCAAGTCCACGAAAAGTCATTCCTGGTTTCCTGAAACCGATCTCTAAGCTACATTTTAAAACTCAATGTTCGAACTTCGTGTCAAATCGAAAAAGTTTTCTTTATTTAGTACTGGGATTTCGTGCTTGTAACATATGCTCTGTCTCCCTTACCAATCAGAATTCTAGTTCTAATTCCGTTTACTCTGTCTACTATTTCTTGTATAGCATTATGTCCCAGAATTGAGCATTGTACGCCTGAGCAGTATCGTTGACCCTATGTCGACACAGCCAAGCTCCTATTAGTCTGCTGTTTGCAAGCTTTTCTCTGAGTCCAAAGAGTCAACAGCCAACTTCTATTATTGCATTTTAGAGATTCGTAGGTTTATATACAATTTCGCATAAACGAGCTGAAAGCGTCTGTGAACAGAGCAATCTGGGAAATATAGATTGACATTAAAATAGGATTAATAAGTAGCATACAGATAGTTGGTTAAACGGAAGCTTACATAGTAATCCAGTTACTTATTGATTCTACAACAATAAATTAAATATTAAAAATCCGAAAACCAATTCAAGCTTTTACGATACTCATTCCGTTATGACATAATGAAAGACATGATCGACCTAACGACAATCCACCAATCATCGTGAAAGAGACTCAATGAAGGACTCACTCATTTTGAAGCAGATATTTAGTTTCTGATTATTCTCTAGTTACTCACTACCTGTAAACAACCTGGATGAAAAATTAACACAAGTCTTCCACACTTTTTGAGGTTGAGCAGACCGAAGCGAGGAAGAGCAGCTGTTCCTGATGGATAACCCGTCTGATCGTTAAAAACAATTATCTTGTATTAGTAGTTAAGTTGGCTAAGATACTAACTAGTATTTGGGAACTTCGCATCTGACTGATCTCGGAGGCTGATCATTCCAATTTTTAAAGCAACACTTCAATTTGTTGGTCAAGAGATTCTGTGGCAATGTCTGTCATCGAAAGGTATACCAAAGAAGTGCATCTACCTTGAACAGGCTCTCTATTCGTTGCCGGCTTCATTTATCTTGATATTTTCATCAGTCCTGATAGATCTCGTCACCAGTTAGCAGAACTCGATTGGTGTTTGCCAATTCGTATCACTTGTGACCTATATGAGATGTCCATCTACCAAGTAAAGGGTTTGGATACCGTTCAATATTGCACTCTGTTCTACTTTGTGGGTGTGAAACACCGCCATTGTAATAGAGAATATTCGTTGGTTACTAGTATTCGACCATAAATATTTTTTGAGGAGTTTAGTTGTGTGAGCTGAACGATTTTATTGTGGAGCTTTGACTGTTCTTCTGAATAACGTCATCTCCACGACCAAACCATTTAGCTTAGAGGACAGAACAACCAAAATTATCCACCTAAGCAACGAACCTTCACCGTCTCAAAAATTATTGATGTCTTTGATGCATTGCTCGTGTATTTTGGAACCAACGATCAGGAAGTGTTTGGGTTCGGAAATGGAGACTGAGTAAAGAAGGAAAATCGGTCGATGACCTAGTCAATCTGGATTGACTGAAATTGTTATAACGTTCATTACGTATGCCTGATTACTGTTTACTCCCTCATCTTTTCTATTTCTTCTGGCGGTGGACTTGATGATGCAAAATTCCACATCTGGGCAGAGGCACAGAATAAAATGTACAGGTTTTGGACTTCGCTGATGACCTAATACTAGCTGAAACTTAGAGGACCACTACAACCATAATCGAGAACGTACAATTATTTACAGACAAATATCTACATGAGATGCTCCAGATCCGTTGGCCGGATAACATCAGCGACCACCTACTGTGAGAGAGAACAAACCAGTTTCGAACTGAAGAGTAAATTAGAAAATGACGTTGTAAGTGGATAGGACATACATTGAGGGAATCATCAAAGTGATTCACGACGCAAGCCCAAACTTGTAATGTTGAAGGGAAAATGAGGAGTGAAAGACTACTTAACACATTCGTCGGCAATGGTAGGTAGACATGAGTAGGATGAATAGCAGCTGGAGAGGAGAGCCCATGAGCGAGTTTGATGGAGAATGCTGGTTGGTGGTCTATGGTCCTGGACGAGTGGTAGGAGGTGTAAGTAGGTATAAGACAGAAGAGGTTGGTCATATGCGAACTCCAAATCATCTAGTCGCATTCAAGCTGTCCATTGTATTCCATACTTTCCCACTCTGCTTTTCCGAACCCTAACCTCAATGTTTAGTTTCTTACATCGTTCCGGTCTCTTACTATACGTCTTGTTTATTTCTCATTGTCGTGTTAGTTCTGTATAACAAAGTTGTGCGAGCTCATATGTTTTGGGTTCTATCTTGGAGATGACGCACTAACAGTAATTTAGGGTTTGCTTTGTTTTACAGTATTTTCCAACCTCCACCATCAATCCCTTGAGATAATAAATTACTCTGAAAATTTAGCTTCCTATAAGCAGTGAGAACCATCACAGTATATCAGTCTTGTGTCTTCATTCAACCTCTCTTGTAGAGAATATATCTCTGATAGCGCTATTTAGTGGTATATCTGTGTTGATGTGTGTTAACTATTTCTTGATACTGCGAAAACTTGATATGAGTTGTCCACTCTCCCTCATTATAAGGAATCAGATATAGACTGTATTTGATTTCTTTTTTCTGTTCACGTTGAACTCGGTAAAGTCTTATGTTACAGAAGTTTTAACAAAGCTTTGGGATCAAAAAGTTTCACTCATACCTTTCCTGTGCATGATATACCGATGATATGTGACCAGTTATTCATCTTATGGATTAAAATACTGTTTCTTATCAGACCGATTACTTTATGTTTAGAACATTCGACGTTCAACTAACTGCTTGGGCGTTCAGACTTCAATCTACATACTTTGTTTTAAATATCTCATTTACAATATTATAGTTATCTAAACGAATCCATATTCGTTGGATAAGATTAAAAAGATTTCGTATAGGGTTTTTGACATTATTTCGATAGTGCTTGTGCACCATACTATCCATTTCCTGTACTTACCATGTCGTTTTTAGTGTATAATAATCCTCACTTTGTAATCCGTCATGTGGCTCAGTTGTATGAATATTTTATTCTTGTTAATATTTTCGAAATATAGTGTTCAATTTTCGATTATGTTCTTATCACTTGAAGTTTTCAAATCAGTCATATAAACAAAATACAGAAGTTCAGTTCTCCAACCGACTTAATATAATGTAAGACATCTGGTAACTAACTCGGATGTTCCTCGTTTCATCATCTCAACGTTCTTTACTCCTGTCACTTCTAACTCGTTACTCGTTTGTCTGTTGTCACCAGAAATTTATTTGGAGTAAAACGAAGCATAATAATCCAAATACTTACATACGCCTATTTACTAGTTTTTGTTCACGAAACATGTCTTAGAAGTTTGATACTAACCAAGATTAAGCGTGTGGTACTAGTCAATTATCCCAAATCGATTGAAAAGTCGTCAATTTCCTCAACTGTGGTGGTCGGGACGTGTATTAAGTGCCTCAACCGCTTACCTTTGTTAAGTCTTGTGTTTAATTTCTGGTTCGTACCTTATGATCTATCGAGTTCATCCTCTCGTTTCACACAGCTGTTTAACGTTTCTAATGATTATCGATAACTGCCATTACTTGAACTCGTGCTATTTATCTTAATTTTATCATATAGGCCTAATGTGTTATTGCATCTTAAGCTAATAGTCAAAAACTAGGTAACCTGTCTCAGAATCGTTTGAAATGTCTCAGGTGTATCCACTCTTTGTGTTCCCTTACATCTCGAGTTTTAAAAATATTTTATACTTTTTATTCTGTAAATTCATCCTTTACATATTTTATCTTCTGTCCCTAATTTTTTTTACTACTATTCATCCTGTTGCTGTTTTACTGTGTCATCTTTTTCATGTCTGTGCTGATGTAGTGTGTTGACTTGGACTAATGTAAATTCGTGTCAGTCGCTACGTTGTTTATAATTAACTACATCGGTTAAAATTTATCGTATGCATAATTTGCATTCGGAATTTTTTGTTTCAGATCTTATCGTTTACTCAGTTATATGAGATTTTACTTTTAAATTGTCTCAAGTAGTTGACTACTGTTCAGATTCACCGAAATTCGTTCAAACAACAAGAACTTTGCGTTTTTCCTGTCAATTGAATATACTGTGTATGCATAACATTTTGTGTTTTCATACACGTTTTCCTTTGTTTACTTGAAGCAAGCAGGAACAAAGAACTGAACAGTAACATATATTCATCTGTCGCATCACATTCCTATTAGCTACAGAAGCAAAATTACAAATTAGGTTGGAAGTTTTGATATATGACCAGTGAAAACATGTGATTGGGCTTCGAGCAAAGATAAACAAATACTGAGCTTACTGATATATGAATTCCTTTTTATTACTGATTTTTACTCCAGACGTGATATGTATGGGGAATACTGGTTGTATTGGATAAATCTGTTGTCTAAGTTGTACTATGGTTCTCTATTCTTAGTCGAGAATCGTATACATAATATAATGTGGTCCTCAGTCTTTGCATAGCGTATCGATCGAGTATCCAGTTTACTCGTAATATAATTTGTACATAGATCGTATTATATTATCTGTGGCATACAGAAAATGTAATGTCAAAGTTAATACAAACACATCTATACAGCATAGCAAACACGCAAATAAAAATAAGTGTCTAAGTAATATATTGCAAATATATGTCATGTACAGAGACATTAATATAGTAGCAAAGGACAAAAAAGCTAGGAATAAGTGGTTGTGCAATGAAAAAGCACTACTGACAATTAACAATAACTTATTGTTCTGTGGTTTCATCTGTGTGATCATGTCAACAGATACGATGGCAGTCCAGCACTGTATACTGAACACTACGAGATGGGTGTAATTTTGTAGTTCTTTTGCATATTCAGTATACAAATAATATAAAAATTTACTAACTGACTACAGGTGATATAATGGATAATTCTCTCGTCCTCAACTTTGTTTTATATAACATCATATGTTTATATGCGTTCATCCACTCGGCTAATTTAATTTCAATCACACTTGTGGGTTTGTTTTGTTTCAAGTTTCCTCATATTTAGCCATTCTATCATAATATAGAGTTTCTTTTTTAATTGCAGTCGAACACCCATGTCTGTTGTCCCTCAGTATGATGTCTCTGATCCGGAATCTATTGGTAAGTAATTTTGGCTTTTAACACTATTATTTTTAGGACCTAGAAATCCTTCTCTGCCAAGAGATACATCTCAGAGGCAGTTTGATATACCTGGACCAAATCAAATATTAGATCATTTCAATCGTGTTTCACATAATTTATCATGTGAAACGTTTTCTGGTGACTCAACAAAACAATCCCCCATTTCTCTGGATCCTAATAATGATCTTATCTGTAAAGATGAATGCTTAATAGGACACTCTGTTGTCAGTAGAATTATTAGTAATGATGAATCATTTGTACCTCACATAAAGAAGGTTAAAGTTAAGAAAGAGAAAAAGCATAAGAAGCATAAACACAAACATTCTGACAAAAGGTAACTATTATTATTTACTTTGTTACATAATAATATATTAGGGTTTGTATTCAACTCGACGATTCAACTAATCAACTATTTATGAATCCAGGTGACACAGTATCTTGTTCTAATATTGATGTATCTGATAAGAAGCATGCAAAGAAACACAAGAAACATAAGAAACATAAACATGGAAATAAAGAAGACAAGAAACAAGTTAACTCAGATGTAAATTCATCAGTACAATGTATAAGTCTAGATAAAATCAATGTAAATGAGCTTAGCTAATAAACTCTTCTAGTTCTTTCCATGTACATAGGTTTTGAAGAACATGTATATAATGTCTAGATTATAATGATCAAGTTAATGAATTTACTGGACTTCATAATTTTAAATAAATTATTTTTTATCATGAATAAAGTGTTATTCTTTCATAAAGTCGTTTTGTGTACCCATAACCTTAAAAAGTAAAGAAGGTTGAATAACTTTTATTGGCAATATTAATTGTGATTGTTTTGAAGTTTACTACAATAAACTTCGGATTTTAAAATATTTTTTATATGAGAAGCAATAATTTAACTCATTCACCGGGTGGTTGTAAATGAGCCACACTCCAAGTGTGAGGTCTATTGACACTAGCTGGTTGCCTAAACTGAAGTAGGTTGAGATATTAAAGAGGAAGAATGTATTTGTAAAATCTCAGCGAATGACTTTGAAGTAGGTTGAGCCTAGTTGGAACTTGAGACTTGACGTCTAGAATTCGACTGCCTTAACTACCAAGTTGCTGCTCGTGGATTGTCATATGAAGAATAGTCTATTTACCATAATCTTGGATGTTCTCGTTTCGTAATCTCCGTATAATAATATGTGATATCTGATTTATGTGCGTCCTGGTTAGTTTTCTGATGAGAATTAGTAATGTTAACGTTTTCCGTCAGTTTCACTTTTGTTTCTGAAAACTTCGTGGAAGCGAAATGCCTTATTGTGAAAAAGCGTAGATACTTCAAACGACTAGTTAGTATTTTGTTTACTGAATCAATATTAACAACATACATCTACTAACCGATCCCCTCTCGTTGTTGTTACAACCACTATTTTACGGAAATTCGAGCAGAATAAGTAAAAAGATCCTTCCTAATCACTACACCGTTGAAACCAGCTCTATAAAATGCACACCCTGAATAGTCAATTCCTAGGAGGAAACACTAAAGACCACATAAGGTGTGGCTCACTGTTAAGTATGCGACTTTGTACATGGTAAATGGGTTACTTCATCAATGATATCTGTAATTATGTAAATGTCTAGATTTTCCGATGTTTCTTCTATTAGAATAAACCTTTGAAATTCTTTTGTTTTCCTAATAGTTAAGGGATGTATTAATAGTCATTAGACACAAAGTACATGTTTCGTAGAAAGACATTCTAATGTACTTTCCGTATAACGCTGATGCTTAAATTTGCATCATTTTTTATATAATTGAACTTTCATATATTAGAGGGTCTATCATTTTCTGTTCATTCTGGATAGGTACATACCAAGTAGTACTCAGTGTTTTAGTCGTGGAGACGAAGTTTCGCAATTGAATTTGCTCCATAGAAGAACCATGTCCTGTTATTCGTCAATGTTAACGCAAAATAGTATATTTTTTGTTACGGCTTATTAGCATTATATCTTTCGGGAAACTCAATGATTGTTATTCGCTCTTTGTAGACTAGAAAAGTCGATCTAACAGATTTAGCTCCTGTCGCTTGATGCATTCTTTTAGTAAAAGGTAGGCCTATTGATAATAGTGTAAATCTAACGTTTTTTTACCACTCGACAAAATCTTATGTGTCTAAAACTTAATTTAGTCTTCTTTCATCTACGTGAAATAGGCTTCATGGAATGAACTACTTGAAAATGTAATTTGATGGAATGTTTACAGTGTCACGTCATTGCGATTGATTTTTTTGGAAAAATACTAAATTGTGTCTTAAAAAAACCTATGCACAAACTAACAACTCAACTAGTCAGATATATATTCAGGTTTAGTAGTCTATTCAAAACACTTAGAAGTTAGGCTGTCTTTTCGCTCGTTTCGATATCAAAGTTATTTTAGTTAGCGTCATTCTTTATTTTGATGTTACTTAGTTTTAATTAATGTCTGTTGTACTGCTCTTGCATTTATTCTGTGGCGTTTTGTATTGTAATACGGGTGCTCTTGTGTATTTTAAAACTGATTTTACAAGCTCTGTTTCTGTGCAGCCTAATTCACTCGTTATTCCAGTTCTTGTTAAAAAAAAAGAAAGCATTCGTTGTAAAATCTCATTATAAACTGTACTACTACCACCGATCCTGTCTTTTAATGCTATGAAGCATTTCTAAGTATTATCAGTGATTAAAGATTTCCTTCTGCAAAAGATGAAATGAAAAGTTAAATATCGTGTTTACCTTTTATGAGTCATTGTACTTTTTATCAGGTTACTTATGGGGTTAGGTGTGTGTTCACGTTTAAACAATAGTAGCAACGTGTGCAAAAGATGGGCATGTCACAATATTCTCTTTAAATCATTCTCTAATGAGAGCTTTCTTACATTTAAGAAAAAATACTTCCAGTATTTCTGTTTATAATTTCAGAGAATTCAATTACAATTTATTATAACGTTCAAGTAGGACTTCATTGTTACCCAGACTTTGATCTAATAGAAATATCAGTAGTTTTGAGTAATTATTGATTTGTTTTATAAGTTTATTGTCTTTCTCTGAGAAGTCCTTTCTGAGTGAGAATTGTTTCATAGCTTAGTATAAGTATTGCCCTCGCGTTTATCAGTAAGATTTCTCGTTTCAACTAATAATAAATGATAGGTCGGAGCCACTATTAATTATAAGGTCATTCTGTCATTTATCTGCTTTGATGCAATTATATGTAGAGAGGGGCATCATAGTATATATGCGCCACACAATAAAATAAGATTGTTTACTGATAAAGGAAGATAGCAGAGGACAATAAAAAAGGAACGGTGGATTGAAAAGCGTGTGAAAAATACAATAGTAAAGGCAGAATCAGTTCACCTCAGAAAATATTCTTTTAACCTTATAGTCTTAACCATCTCTAGGCTCCAACCAGGGAATTGTGTATGACCGACGGATACTAGTTATATGCAGCTTTCCTTCGTACCTGACAATATGTCTTACACTGACCGCCCTCGCTTTACACTACAAGTCCTAATGTCGACCTACGATGTGTTCTCTAGGACGACATTTTACAGTACAATTTCAAGCCACCGGAGACGATGTTTCGATATGGTAACACGAATTGAATTATCGTCTCTGCATCCGAACACAATTTGCCAAACCTTCACATTTTTAACATTGTGTTGCCTCTGGATAGCAACAATCATGACAACGGAGATCAGAAGCAGCGAGTCATTATCATTCTTAACTCGGAGCAAAACTGACTTTTACAACCCAACTAATATTCCGAAGATAGCTCAGATTGGCATAGGCTATTCTGGCTTTCACTACGTGAGGTTCCGACAGTTAACAGGGACAGTTGCCGCTTCCAATTCATCATGCTCCAATCACCAGGCTTCTCGGTTCTTACGCAAGCTGTGCACAATTCCATTATGTAGTAATCTATGTTCGTCGTCAAACTCCGCAATGACCGGCGTAATCCGACGTGCCTCGACCAGTTGTAAGGAGCATGTAGAAATCTAGTGCTTACTAGCCGAACGTTCCACTAAGCCACAAGTGGCTATACTTGCCATGGTGTCATATAGATGTACCCGATTCTCATCCAAACTTTGATGCGTCGATAGCTAGCCTTGAACACAGCTCGGTTGAAATCAATTTGCTCGTCGATCCGTTTCAGAAGAATTCGTATTCAGTGGTTTTGCTCAACGTCCGGCCAGTTAGTGACCTGAGATCGTTTAGATAGGACAGGATTTTGATCATAAGTGAGCTCCTGTATGAGTTGGGAAAGCAATATAATCTAAAATAAAAACAAATCCACACAATTGTCGTGAATACAATTTGAGCCAGAATACTTTCTCTATAGTTGTAATAATTTAATTTTTGTTTCGGCTAGCATGCTACCCAGGTTTCCAGACTGAAACAGGTGGTTCCCTAGGTAGTAACCCCGTGAGTATTTGTCGCACAGGTTGAATCCATGGGGCAATGTCAAGTGATACGGTCCGATGGTAGTCAATAACCAACGATAGGTTCATATGTCATTTGTTCCGTAAGGATCCTGGGAACTATGTTCACCATAATTTTGTAATACGTGTTCACCAACTACCATAGGTGGATTTCGAGTACCCACCAAAGCGGTCCAAGCTCCTGGCGTTTGTCTTTTCATCCTCTCGATTTTTCGTAAGCAACACCGCCGCGAAAGGTAATGAGTTCTACTTCCTTGGATGTTATTTATACATGTAGCTGTATGATTGGATTCCCAGAGGGAGAGTGGTCTCTCCAATCTTAGCCTTTGGTACCCGTTATGTGCATTAGTATCTAAGTTTGGAATACACAAAATCGATCTTTCGCACCCGTTCAAATGATATTTAGTACGCCCCAGTTTATGCAGAAATATTAAGAAACCATATAATCTTGGAACTACCTAAAGCTCGGATTGATAAAATTGTGGTTCCTGCTGAATATGCGTTATTTAAAGAATCTACAACAATAAAGGAGCTCAAGGTCAAGAAGATTTTGCCTATAATATTTTAAGATCTTACACAGAAGGACTAACAGTCCTTAATGAATTATATTTCCACGAAACTCATGTAAATCTATTCATAATGATAATAGAACTGGGAAGTGATAAGCTGTAGTTGAGATTTTGAATAAACGTAACTGACGTCGTTTATTACTGAATATATAAACACAACTCTGCACATTATTTATGGATTTATTTGGTGGTGTCTGATTCATAAATAACTTCATGTTATCGACTTCGTGTATCCACGTTATCTCTGGGGGATATTGTTTTATTAGCTTATATCACGAAATGCATGAGAATTTTCTTACATGATTGTGAGTGTTTTATTTAGATCACAGAACAAACATGTGGAATGTTAAATGAAGGTTCTGGCTTATGATGAAACCTATTAAATATACTCTTAATGAACAAACAATTGTAAATAGTGATAACTACATAAGCAAATGATGTATGAACAAAGCTTATCTGGTCGTTTTAGTAACGAACAACCAAGTTCATTAGGACTCTATAAAAGTATTACTATCATTATTGCTATTTATATCAAACATTTTTGACATTTATAGTTAAAAAGTGGATATATTGCTTTCAAAA